TATTTTTAGTTTTCTTGAGACAAATTCTTAAAGGAATTACTCATTCAAAAAACATTTTTAAGGCCTTAGGTATATTCCATCAAACTGCCCTATAGAGAGGAAGTACCACTTTATAATCTACTGGCATATTATTTACAAGGTCTGAAAATATCACTGAACTTTTTTTTTTTAATATTTGTGGAAACTTTATTTTAGGTGGTTCTAAAGCTCCTTTCTAATGCAAAGATCCTGTGAGTCTGATCATTCTATAGCATAAAAACACAATATCATCTATTCACTTCCATAACAATTTTGGTAGTGAAGTAAATGAAGTTTCAAAGAGTACCAAAGTAATACCGATAAGCATATTCCTATGCTTATTCAAAGACTATGATAGTTAAAAAACAGAGATTCACATACTTTTTTCAGATTTGTAGGATGCATATAACATGTAAATATTAAGTTGAACCATATAAAATTGCCACATTTATAGGTGAAACATAGTCAAATACTGGCAAGTTTGGTACAATCTTGAATAAACTTCAGCTTAATCCTGACAATTTACATATATTACCCACTTAATAAGGGCAAGCCCTTATTGTTTGCTGAAGGACTACAATCTAATCAGGTTAGACAACCACCTCTGTCCACACACTTAACACCCATCTGTAGCTCCTGTATTATACTATATATTTTGTGTTTCTTGTGAATAATCTCAAAGCCATAAATGTACTAAAACAGGGCCTGGTAAAGCTGGGGTTGCTGGTATAACTACTTAAGTTCCTTAAGGCGAGGCACTTTCCGACAATGACCTAGGAAGCAACAGATAATGACCACCCGCATTTCACAGAGGAAAAAACAAGCTCACAGAGGTTTGGCTCCAAATACACAATTGAGAAACTATGAGTATACAGGTTCTGAACTCAGACTGTAGCAATGAACTACTTGCATAATAATACTCTGTTCCTGATATTATATAACTAATTATTAACTAGCATCAATTTAGTGCTTACTACACAACAGATCCTATGAAATACAACAACCCACATAAGTATGGCGATTGTAATTATCCCAATTTGCAAGTGATGAAACTAAAGCTCAGAGAGGTTATAAAAGTTGTTTAAAGCTACACAGGAAGGAAGTACCAGAGTTGAGATTCAAACACAGACTTACTCTGGAGCTTCCACTTGTAATTAACCACACATACTCACCTTTGAATGTTACACTGTAAGAGAAATCATAACACAGTGCCTAAATATATAGTATCATGTATCTATCTATCTATCTATCTATCTATCTATATATATATATAGTATCATGATACTATATAGTATCATGATACTATAGTATCATGGTGACTTTTTTGTAACATTTTTTTTTAATTCTTGGATTTTCTTTATATGTTTCTATGATTATTAGTTTTTTTTTTAATTTATTTATTTTTTTATTGTTGGTCGTTCAAAACATTACATAGTTCTTAATACATCATATTTCACAGTTTGATTCAAGTGGGTTATGAACTCCCAATTTTACCCCGTATACAGATTGCTGTATCACATCAGTTACCCTTCCATTGATTGACAAATTGCCTTTCTAGTGTCTGATGTATTCTGCTGTCTGTCCTATTCTCTACTTGATTATTAGTTTTAAGTAAAACCTTAGGAGGGGTTTTGTGGCAATATAAAATTACAGAATTTTAAAAATATGCAAGAGTAAAAAGGAACTGCAAAATAGCAGAGCAATATGAAGCTCAAGAACCAACACTTGAAATAGACTTAATTCACTTTCTATTTCCTCGTGTAAAAGTGTGCATTTGTGGAAACACTTAAAAAAATTTAAAGGTCCACTTTCCTAATTCTAGCTTTAAGTACAGAAATAGTATAAGAAATAGAACATTCATGCAACATTGGAACCAAGCTGTTCAGATATGCACCCAAATATTTAGGTTCTGCCCTTTGACCCCCCTCATATACCAGAGAAAGGAAAGATAATGATTTGTTTAAAAGCTCTAAGTGTCCCTACCTATGAGAATAGCATTTGAATAAAAGAAAGAAAAGGGAGGCAAAGAATTTTTTTAAGAGGAAGGAAAGAAGATAGGTTTAAAAAAAAAAAAAAAGACCAATCTCCTCTCAGAGAGCATGGTCCATCCACATTATAAAAAGGATTAAGCAGATACATTCAGCTTTTCTAACAGATTTTCTTTCTCTAAGGCTTCAATACCCCTCTCACACTCACTCGGATAATCACATTAGTTTTGTCATTAAAAGCTCCCTTTTCACAGAATGCACCTAAACCGCTTAAACCACCCAGAGAGGTCGCATACATTATCAAACACCAAGACAAACGGAAGAGGTTTTCCATCTTATGTCTTATTATTTCACTCTATCCTTTTGCATGCTCAGGAGTCTAGTTACCAGGTAAAAAATGATTCCAAAATTAACAAACTATACAGTATCCTTTAAAACTGCTCTTTAAAAGACCTAATAGTCTTTATGTGGACAGAACAGTCAAATGACAGAGGGGTTTTCTATTTCCCTTTTCTCTTCTTCCTTGTGTTCCACTGGCCAAGTCTGTGATTATCTCTGCATGAATGTTGCAGCTTCTGTTAACAGTAAACAAAAGTAAATGGAGCCTGAGCCTGCAGAGCCCAAAGACAAATTAAAAAGAATGATCCTTGAATTGACACGGAAAATGGCCTTTAGTTGCTGCCCATGGATCCTTCAGAACTGTACAAGGTTTAGCCTGAATTGGAAATCACCTGCTTTTCTCCATAACCCAATTGCTGCATATTATCTCACCATCCTAAGCCTGAGTCACAGACTCAGAGAAGGACCGCTGTTTGTCAGCCCTTTAAAAAGGAGGAAGTGTATCAGAGGGAGGAGGAGTTCTGGCTAAATGGAACTATCCAAGTGAAAGAGCGGTCCCCAACTGGGTAGTGTTCAGGGATTAGTGGGTTGGGAGAACAGAGAGGGTCAAGAAAGGAGAAATAGAATAGGCAGTGAAAAAAAGAAAGTGATCTGAAGCTAAAAATTTGGGAGGAAGAAAATTTCTGAAAATCAGACGGGTAAGTAACTATAGGAGGAAAAAGAAATAGAGGCAATGCAAGTTTCTCAAGGAAAAGGCAACAGATTATTTTTGATGGGTTATAGGCAGGAAATGAAATCATAAATGTATTTATTGTAAGCAATCAAGAATTCCATAATACCAGGTTGGGGGCATAACTGGGTGGTATAGTGCTGGGTTCCACTCTCCAAAATCATGCATAAAAGAAGCTAAGGTTATTATGGGGGAAGGACATAAAGTTATCTTGCAAAAAAAAAAAAAAGCTTCTATAATGTATATAAACAAAAAGATAAAAGGACTGCACTAAATAGCAATAATAATAAAAGACAACAAAACCCTACTGGTTTCAAGTAATTATTAAGAATAGTGAAGGAAAAAAATATTTATCTACATCGAAGACTCAACAGGAAAATGTCTGAAGGAACATTAAAGAAGTGGAGAAAACACCATGTTAGACTGCTCACCATCCCAAATCATGATGAACAACTAATACTAAAGCTCTATTCCTCTGGCTCTTTTCAGATTAAGGGTCAGCAAATTACAACCTCCAGGCCAAATGCAGCCCAACTGCCTGTTTTTTAAAAAATATTATTGGCCATCCTTCTTCATTTATGGATTACCTATGGCTACTTTCATGCTATACCTGCAGAGTTGAGTAACTGTGACAGAAATCACGTGGCCCACAAAGCCTAAGTATAACCCTTTATGGGTAGAGTTTGCCTATCCCTGTTCTATCAATAAGGGAATTCCCTGTTGTTTTTATCATCTGACAATTCTTTGGTTCTCCAAGAAAGGGTTAAGATGCAAATGTATACTCTCTTTGTATACTGATAGAGTTAAATTTGATGTTTGAATCCAGATTTTATTAACATGTAAGAGATCTCTTTCTCATAAGTTTTTACTGAATTTAATTAAATGCACACAGGTGCAAAACACTTTGTTCATGAAAAAAGAAAAAAAAATAACTAATTGCAGATGAATTTGTTTCATTTTAGTTGCAAAGTTTTAAGCAAGGTGTATGTTTACTGCTTCAAAGGCACAGTAAATTACAAGTGTTTTTGAAACCTGGCTCTCATATTACCAATTCCATTTTTATTTCCAGCACCAATTCTAGCTGTAGAGTCAATTATATTCTCAAAACTTAACTATCAAGTTGGCCAGCCTTTATTTTTAAAACTAAAAGGAAAAGTTCCTAACAAACAATATGCTTAAAAAAGAGCATACACAATAAATAATTTGACATGAAAAAAAATTTAAAAATCTAAAAGAACCTAAAATTGGTGTAATGTGTCTTTATACTTCTCAAAGTATTTTCACATCCAATATTTTATTTGGTCCTAAGCACAACTATTGTCATCCTTTTTTATAGAGGTAGACATGGAGACTCAGGGAGGAAGAACACCTTGGCCAAGATCACGCAGCTGGAAAGCATCAGTTTCTGGCCAGACCTTCATGAACTTCAGGGACCCAAGTCAGTGTTTTTTCCATTCTGCCATCCTGCATGGGAATCACCCTTCACACATGTGTTGCACTTAGGAAACTTCAGCAGCTGACTGAATCATAATACTTTGATAACAACTGCAATTTATTAAGCATCATTAGATAGATCCAGGCATTATACATACACCACAAAAATCAAATATATTATATATTCAAAGGGCATTAGACATGGCACATAGTAAATATTCAAATGACTGCAACTATTGTTCTTATTTCTACTTCATACAGCTTTACAATTGATGTATTTTGCCCCTATTTTTCATGGGAAAACTGAAATTATGCAACATGTCCAAAGTCACATAATCAAAAAGTGGCTGAACCCAGGATTCCCACCCAGATTTGAGTAACTCCACAGAGCCCTAGATGTCACTGGGATTTCCTCTGATGATGAAAGTCAGAAAATGTATGTGAAAATTAAAGTATATCATTAAAAAAATGAGAGGAAATTTTCCTGTTACCTTGATAGGCCAAGCAGGCAAAGGCTGCAAAAAGTTAGATGCATAAGGGTAGTTCACCATTGCCAGATTCACCCAAGTTTCCATAATCCATTCTTTCAAATTTGGGATGTCCTCGAATGTCAATGGGCTACATAAGTGAAGGGTTTGAGCAAGCCATTGTAGACCACTGCCTGAGAATAGAATCACAATGCTGGAGTCTAAAAAGTACGAGGCAACACAAGTCTTTACAGATCATTCATTCTTCGCTTAGTATTACAGAAAACTCAATTTTCTATACCAATTTTCCAGAATTTTTTCAACATTTAGTAAAATACTTGTAAAGCTACTAGATAGATATTCCCATGATAGACAAGCTGCCTATCTTTATGCAGATTACTAGAATTAGTGGTCTGAATTATTTCCCCCTTTTAAGATACTATTGAAACAAATAAATAGAAATATTATCCAGGATGGATAATGTATAAATTACAACTAATAAAACAAATCGATACATATGACAAATATACTATTGAACAAAGACAGCAGGCAAAAAAATATATAATATACAATTGCAATTATTTAAAGTTCAAGAACAAGCAAAATTAATCTATGGTTCAAGGAGTGAGGATATAATTAGCTGGGTAGGGATGGAGATAATGATTGAGAAAGGCACCAGGGAATTTCTGAGATGCTGATAATGTTCTTGATCTGGATGTAGTTATTTATACCAGGTACTCAGTTTGTGAAATTCATCAAGCTATGCATTTTGATTGTGTAGTTTTATGTACATATATTTTACTTTAATAATCGTTTGCTTAAAATTGGAAGAATCATTAAACATAGTGGTGCATGCATATAGCCCCCAGTACCTGGGAGGCTAAGGCAGGATGATCATTTAAGCCCATGAGTTTGAGACCAGCCTGGTAACATAGTGAGATCCTGTCTCAAAAAAAAAGAAAGAAAAGAAGTAGGAGGAAGAGGAAGAGAAGGAGGAAGGGGAAAAGGGGAAAGGGAAGAGGAGGAGGAAGAAGAGGAAGAAAAAGAAGAGAGAGAAAGGCAAAGGAAGGAAGAAAGAAGGGAAGTATTGATTTAACCAAAATCTCAAATCCATTCACTTGAATAAAACTTACCTGTACTTGAGAGTCTGTTAATGGCATCCCAGGACCTGAGGATAGTCACTGAACAATTTGAACCACTTTTCTTAAAATCTGTAGTTACAATCTTCATAAACATATCACAAGGAACAAAGTCCTCAAACTGCCAGATAGGGGCAGAAGCTGCAAGGGCTCTAAATGGTAAGGGAAACAAGGGAGGAGAAAAAAAAATATGAACTCACTTAACTCAAGTTTTAAAATTAAAATTGAGACTGAACAAAATCGATGAGGAAAAATAACACAGTTTTAAAGACACAGAACTAGAAATCTCAGTAATAGAATGGGGCATGTTTTACACAAAACAGATCTCTAAGTTTGCCTTGACAATTACTAAGAAGTTCTCATGCCAACATAAATGCACTTACCCAACTACTATGTGAGGATATTTCATCCTGAACCAGGCTGCAAGCATACCACCATAAGAGCCCCCTATTGCAATGACAGGCTGATCTTCAGCTCCTGGGATTGTTCTTTTCAAATGTTTGATTAACTCAACAAAATCAGCTAGAGCTTGTTCTGATGTCAGAAAATTCAAGTGTCTGCCATCCTAAAGAAAAATAATAAAGAACATGGGTATAAATGTGCATGTAATGGCAGTTTAGGTATTACCCAGATCCAGAAAAAAAAAAAAAAAAAAGAGGCAGAGAAGCTTTTCTCCAAATACAATTTCTAGTCAATTGAGCTAAAATGCCCAGTCAAAGCAATAGCTGTGCTGATTTAAACAACTCATGAAATATGTTTTTAAGTTTGTGGAAGAACATAACGTACTTTGCATTTAGTTATAATTTCTATTAAATGCTAGTGACTGTTGAGGTATAGAAATAACAACAACAAACTGTAAGTAACATTTAAGAGCAAATGTGATGAAATATAAAATTAAGCCTAATAGACAATTGCTATAACTTGTATTTCTAATATTGACATATTAAAAATGTCCACAATGTAGGAAATAAAAAAATAAATCCTGTGGACAAATGAGGTGAAGATCACCAATAAAAACAAAACTCATTCTTCCTCATCAGAAAGATTATATATTATGAGTAAACTAGGCTGCTTATCATAAACAACTGCAAAATTAAAAGAGAAATATATTTTCAGGCACCAGAAATATAAGACATCAATCCTAGAGAGGAGGGAATCTCATAAAGTACATCCCATGATTGTCTATATCTCTGCATAGAGACAATTTCCCTCTGCAGTATAGGAAGTTGAGGCACAAATGGAGTCTGGCTGAACTGAGGAGCCTAACAGGATGTTTTAAAACATCAATAATTCCTGACATCCCTTACTTTAAAAGCTGAAGCCTAATCTCACTCCTTTGAACATGGGCTGGACTTAGCTTCTTGGTTTTAATGAATAAAATGTGGCAGAAGTGATAATACATGACTACCAAGGATATATTAAAAAAAAAAAGCATGGTAGCTTCTACCTTGCTCCCGTGGTTGGCCAACTTTGAGGGCAGTTAGCTGCAATGTCATGAATCTACTCAAGTAGGCCCTTCGGGAAGCCTAGAAGGAGAGGAAGCAATCTCCAGAGCCAGTTTATCACTCATGTGATAACCTCTGTACTAGTGGAAAGAGTCTCCCATGTCTGGTTAAGCCTTTATCTGACTCAAGCAGTAGCTCACCTCTTGGCTTGAAATAGAACCACCCAGATAAACCACTCCCAATTCCTTACCTAAAACTATGAGATAATAAAGGCTTATTGCTGTTTTAAGCCTTAACATAGCTAAGATAACAAACATAGCTATACAGCCTATCCAGCTATCTTGTTTGATCTTTTTGCATGTGTCTCACCACTCTGTTGACTCCTTCTATTATTCGACACACTACTTAGCTACAGAGCTCCCAACTCTCCTCTTTCTATAGATGCCACCTACTCCTTTAGCCTTCCCCCTCATCCAAGATGTATGCTTTCTGACTTCTTACCTCCTATCTGTCACTATTCTTTACTTCCAGTTTTTATGGCACTATGTATAGTATAGTTCAATGCAATTCTTTTCCAATCCTTGAATAATATGTGTAACATCCATCATTCTACTGACAAATTCTGTGAGCACAGAAAGGGAAAGAAGCATATGAAAAAAAGAGCCCTTGGCTCCATTTTGTTGACAGAGCATCAATTATAGTGACCTTGGCAAGGGAATTATGTTTCTATCTGCAACAAGCTGACTGCTTCCCAGTGATATCAGGACCTGTCAACTTTTCTAATCAATTATGTGTGAAAAACACTAAGTTAAAGAATAGATGAGGGCTCAGACAGTGGTTCAATGGTAGAGTGTTTGCCTAGCATGTGTGAGGTACTGGGTTTAATTCTCAGCACCACATATAAATAAATGAATAAAATAAAGGTCCATCAACATAAAAAAATATATTAAAAAAAAAAGAATAGATGGGGCTGCAGTTGTGGCTCAGTGATAGAGTGCTTGCCTACCATGTGTAGGCACTGGGTTTGATCCTTGGCACCACATAAAAATAAATAAACAAAATAAAGGTATGTCCATCTACAACCAAAAATTTTTTTTAAAAAATAGAGCATCCCATACAGCCCAACAACTATCTTTCTATTTATAACACAAAAACATTTTACTTATTTTTATTTATTTTATTTATGATACAAAATAATAAAACCTAAGGATAAAAATTAAAAATTCCTTTCAAAACAGACAGCCTAAATACTATTGACCCCAAGTTCTTCTACCTGAAATCTCCTCAAAATCATGATATACGTATACCGATGGTATGCAAAATGATCTTAGGTAGTGCATAGTGTTTTTAATGTAAGATTGATTATCTTATTGTAACTTGGAAAAAATAACTAGTACATAAAGCCCTTGATTAAGATAATGCTAACATAAAGACTGAGTTCCTTAAAGAAAAATATTAAGAAAATGATATAATTTTTTAAATATATTAATTAATATATTAAGAAAATTAATATAAGCAGAATCACAAAGGTAGAACATAGTGACTCAATTGAGAAAAAAATCATCCAGGTTGATTAGGTGCAGAGCCTTTGGTCAAGACCAGAGTCTTTTGTACAAAGAGGAAGGGCTGAAGGGAATCCCAGGGACAGTTAGTCTCACTGAATCATACAGCTTATTTTTTCTTATTTTATTGACTATCTTGTATTTAAAACACCTTATTAGACAAATGCTTATGTGCTCATTCTATGTTTCCAGAGACAGGATTGATAATTAAAGCATATAATTTATAAAGCAGAATTGTTGACCTACACTTTTGAAATAATGAAAAGTCCCCTGCACTGTCTCTGCAGCCATAGAGTAAGATTGAGCTGATTGAAGCTGGCCTGGCACACTGAATTAAACTGGTTAACATCAGAAAGATAATAATATGACTTTAAAAGCCTCAATCCCAGAGCTGGGATTGTAGCACAGTGGTAGAGAACTTGCCTAGCATGTGTGAGGCACTGGGTTCTCAGCACCACATGTAAATAAATAAACTAAAGGTCCAGCAACAACTAAAAAAATTTTTTTTTAAAAAAAGCCACAGTCCATTCAAATCGTACTGAAAAAGAAAAGATTAAGCACAAATTCTTAAGATTTCAGGTAGCTCAAGTCAAAACCACCTTATTATTATATTAACATATAATGAGCACATAAGTAGGACTTGTAAGTAAAAAATGTTCCCAACTTTAAACTTCAAAGCAAAACATATATTTACCTGGAATGAGTTGTTGCCAAAGGGCAGGGACTCTCCATAATATCGATGTTCAGCAAACACTAACATAGCTTTCAGTTCCTCAGCCACATCCCACATGAACCCCTAAGAAAAGTTTACAAATCACAAGATAAAATCAGGACTCACTGAAACTTTTACAAACCCTATGAAATAGATGTTAAACCAGACCAGAAGGAGCTCTCTAAAAAGTTTCATAATTTATGTTTCTTCTACAGATAAATGACATAATTGCTGTTTCACTATTGAATGCTGTGTTAGAGTGAAACAATTAAAACCAACCCCAGGTTGCTCACCTACTAGTCATTCCAACTTTCCTTATCCTGAACCTCTCATCCTAGAATCAATACTAGGTCTCAAATAATCTTCAAATTGCAGTAGGCACCATATATTCTGGGAAAGAACTCATGGTATCAAAGTCAGACACTAATCACAGTCATTTATACCATATAAGAGAAAATAGGACAAATAAGCATACTAATCCCCTAGGGAGTATTATATTAATTTGATTTATTGGAAAATAAATAATAGATAACAATAGCTGATATTAACTGAGTAAGTTTATATTTCAGGCCCTGTTCTAAACATTTCCTATGTATTCACTTAATTATCAAAACGAACAAGAAACAGACACTTTGATTTTACAGACAATACAGAGATACAAGACTAGAAATAAGCCTTGATATTGACACAGCTAGTAAGTGTCAGAAACCAGATTCAAATATAGGCTGCCTGGCTGCAGAACATCATAATTAGGTGCTGTTAGACATCCTGCCTCAGCGTCTATGGCTACACATTTATCCCTCACTGCCTTTTTCACTAGCCTCAGTGGTAGCCTTAGAATCCTTCTCAACAAAGCATTCCAGGCAGGCATAGATGGACTCCATTAAACATGATTAAAATGAATTGTCATCCCTAATGCACAGTGTTACTTTTTAATGAGTTGCCACTCCCTAATAAGAACTAAGAACTTTGTCTTTGGTTGTTTTGATCAATAAGCAAACAATTAAAAGAGCTGCATGTATGTGAGGATGGAGAACTTAATGAAACACCTGGGATGGTGTCAGTAGCCCCTCCATTCTCTTTGAAGGACCCACTCATTCCATGCCTCATGTCTACAGATCCTGCCCACATACAACTTGTGCATACTCCCCCCTGCCTGTCCCAACCTGTCAATACTCTCCTTCCACACTGCTGGGCTAGGCCTAGATCTCTATTACTGTGCTGCAAGATTTGCTTATGTGAGTCTTACCCTCAAGACTGTGTCTTAAGAGTAAGAACCGGAGATGGGGTTATGGCTCAGTGGTAGCATGTGTAAGGTACTGGGTTCGATCCCCGGCACCACATAAAAAATAAAATAAAGGTATTTTTTAAAAAAAGAGTAAGAACCATCTATCAGAATACCCAGATTTCTGTGGAGTTGACCTTGGGCTTCAAGAGGAAACAATTTACTTGAACTGATTCACAATGTAATAAGCATTTCTCTGCATCTGCATCAGAGGTATATTTTTCAAATGAGGTGCATATACTTTATTAACATTATGTGCCTACAAATTTTATCTTATTTAGTCTTCATAATTCTATGCCCTAGATATTTTTATTGTACCCATTTAATAGATGAAAAAACTGAAGCACAAAATAAGAAACTTTTCCAAAATAAAATAGTAAAGTGACAAAATCAGAATTCAAATCTTGTCAATTTGGTTGAAGGTTTCACTCTCTATCACTAAACTACACTGCCTATTGAAAAAGGAACATCTAAAAGTGAGGAAGATGTCTGGGACTAGAAAATTTAGGGTATGCCCTTCCAAGAGCTGCCTCTAGTCAGTTCTCCAGAACTGTTCTTAGCACTTCTGAGGATAGGAATCCCCAAGCAAACCTCAGGTTCTGCTCCAGTTTCTAACAAGCAGTAGAGTCTGGTGGAGGAAGCAATAGCTACCTGCCTACAATACAGGAGAACAGGAGCTAGGAAAATCTGAATGAAAGTTGCCCTGTGGCCTTGGCACAAAAAGGGCAGTCACAGATAAGAAAAAGAGACAAGGCAGCAGCCACTGTTCCACAGAATCTGATGGAAAGGAAGTCCTGCTCTCATTGATCATTCGTCTGAAAAAAAAAAAAAAGTCATTCCAGGATCTCATTTCTCAGGGAATTATTTCATTTTCGACTAACATATTTAGATTCTTATTCCTAAGGAAACAGTCATCAATGAGGAATGCAGTAACAGTATAATTGGTTCTATATCTTTACTTTAAATTCAATGCAATTTATTTCAACGAACATTTACTGGGATCTTCTGAGTACTAGGAACCATGCCAATGCCAAATACTGGAATTGGAGATGATAACGATTATTACACTACTTTGTAATAAAAAAAAAAGTATTTCATTGTTTTCATTTGTAATTCTTTAAAACTAAACATGAAGCCTTCTTGGATATCTATAGTTATTCTTTTGTGAACTGCCTGTCCATGTATTTTTGCTATTTTTCCATTATGTTATTGTTTAAAAGAACTTTACAATTAGGTAGTCCTTGGTCATCTATACTGCAAAACAATTTTTTGTAGTTTATCATAATAAAAGGCAAATTGTTTGAGCAGAGGAATTTTACAAATCTGCACATACCGTGTTATTACAAAACCAAACAATGTCCCCTTCGTTACCAGTGTAGAAAAGTATCGATCCACCATCTTTATCCCAGTGTTTGTCAGCTAGCAGGTACCGCTGTTTAAAAGTTTTCATGTTATTGAATCCAAAATGATCAACCTATGATAAAAACAAAGCAGACCAAGACATATTTCAAAGGAAAGTAATTAAATGATATCGATATAACAGTAATTAATTTTCCATTTAAATAAAACTAGACTACAAAAATAATAAAACCTTAAACTTACTTGGTTTATTATTAATGGTAATATTGATGTTGCTATTTTGAGATTCTTTTCTCAAAACAAAACAATATTTATTATTGGTGGTCATGATTTTCAGTGTAAAGGAAAAGATAAAATTATAAAATCAAGTAGTTACTTTAAAAAAAAAATAACGTTGAGCTGGAGCTGGAGCTCAGTAGTAAAACACTTGCATGCACAAGGTCCTGAGTTCAGTCCCCAGCACCACAAAATAATAATATTAAAATTGAAATAGAAACATAAGCCCACTATTTTTCTTTTACTGAATTTTTAATTGACAAAACATATTTATAGTGTACAACATGATGCTTTGAAATATGTGTACATTGTAGAATGGCTAGACTGAGATAATTAACATAAGCATTATGTTACATACTTATTTTCTGTGGTGAGAATACTTAAAATCTACTCTCTGAACATTTTCAAGCATACAATATATATACCATTATTTTTCAAAATACACATATTCCTTACTATTTGAATTTTCATTATCCAAACTTTCAATATCAAAATTCAAGCACTACATAGACCATTGAAAAGGTCTATAAACACTATCACTCTAGTATTAATAGACATTCCAAGTGCCAGGACTTTGGTGTCTAATACCATTCTAAGTAAAAGGAACTAGAGCTTATTAGTACTGTGACTGATTGACATCTGCAAAAAGAATTTACAAGATAAGCCTACACATCTTGCTGGGCAAATAAACAAAGAAGTGCACAAAAATTAATAGAGTTACATTAACAGACATAGGAGTTAATTATAAGAGACTATCACTGGATAACATTTTAATAAATTGAACATAAAACAAACTGAACATTTAAAAAAGTTGATTGAAACATTCAATTCAAGAAAATCCATTAGTAGTGCATACCAATATTAAAAAAAGAATCAAGGAAAAAGTTCATTTGCCACCATTTAAAATAAAGTGTTCAGTAAATCAATCCTTTACTTTTAAGTAGGGAATTAATAAAGAAAATATTCAACATTTAATCTTCCTTTGTAAAATAATTATATTTTAGGGTACCAAAAAGTCCCAGTTGGTGGAGAAGAGCTGTTTAATCAAATTTCACTTAGTGTAGAAGGAATGACAAAATTAGAAAAAATGACACTTCTGCAAATTTACTGATTCAGGTAAGAATTATCAATTGGTGTTAAAAGCATTAGGAGAATGGGTAATAGGAAAATGAATATTCATACAGTGTCAAAGTAATACCACCTTGTTACGAGGGGAAAATGTAACTTTACAAGGACCGGGCTGTCAACCTTAATCTGGAAATGGATGTTAGCAGCACTAATGTTGGGCAGGCAAGAGTTAAGTAACTCCTCATGTACACAACAGGAAACACATATCAACCATGATATACATTCTTGCCAAAAATATTCAGTTTGTTTTTTAATCTAAACTTGGGATCTAATGACCAGGTTCCAGGAAATGTAGAGGGTTGAAGAGTTAAAATCTGAAATCTGACAAATCCCAAAGTGGAACATTTTACAGGACAATGGCAAGGCAATATGGAAAAGAAACAGTTTTAGATTAAATGAATTTTAAGGAGCATAATAACCAAATGCAATGCACTATCCTTGATTGGATACTAATTTGAACAAATAAGATATAAATTATAATATAAAGAAAATTGTGTTGATTTGTATATGTACAACGTATTAGACCATTCTAAAGACTTTTTAGGAGTGATCATATTATTTTGGTTACATAAGAAAATGTTTTTATTTTTTACAGTTGTACACTGATAGATTTAAAGGTAGAATGTCAAACTCTGTTTACTGGAAAATATTTCAACATAAAAAAGTAAAGTGAACTTAAAGGAATTAAAGTTTATTCCAAAAGAGGAAAAAAAAAACATACAGGATACTGAGACTTTATAGGACACATAATACAAAATGTGTTGAAAAGATAAAATAATTATAAACTTAAGTTGAACTTCAGATATATTTTGTGAAATTTTTCTTACCTTTTGAGATTTTTATTAACTGGCTATTTTACATCTAATTATCAAATCCTATAACATGCTAAGACTGGTGGTGCAGCTATTTGAATTTATGGAATTTCCCTGAGCCACTGAGCCTTAGCATCTTGGAGGCTGGGCCGCAGTAAGAATGCAAGCCCTTGTCTGGAGCTCCTGAAGGCTGCTGTTGCAGCACTGCTCCAGCCTCCCTGGAGCAAGGACTGGTTCTGACCTACACTAGACCCTGCAAGACATCTCTAGATCATTCTAAAACAGATGAGGCTCCCTGCACACACACACACACACACACACACACACACACACCACATATCACAGGTCCCAAAATATAAATATCTCAAATCTACACCAAACTCTGCTTACTTACTGATCTCTATGATCTGATCACCATACATTGTCCTAAGGTACAAGTTATTCTAATCTCAAGATGCCTACTTCTTAAGATCTAAAATCAATAAATGGGATGGTATCAAACTAAAAAGCTGCTTCACAGCAAAGGAAACAATCAAGAACATGAAGACAGAGCATTTAATATGGAAGAAAATCTTTGCCACCTGCACCTTAGATAGTGCATTAATGTACATTAATCTCCAGGATATATAAAAAAAACTTAACACCAAATAAATAAATAAATAACCGAATCAATAAATAAGCAAAGGAATTCAACAGACACTTCACAGAGGAAATATGAATGATCAACAAATATATGAAAAAATGTTCAACATTTCTAGCAATTAGAGAAATGTAAATTAAAACTACATTGAGATTTCATCCTACTCCAGTCAGAATGGCAATTATCGAGAACACAAGTACAATAAATATTGTCGAGGATATGGGGGGAAGGTACACTCATATATTGCTGGTGGGATTGCAAATTGGTGCAATCGTTTTAGAAAGCAGAATGGAGATTCCTCAGAAAACTTAGAATGGAACCACCAATTAACCCAGTCATCCCATTCATGAGCATATACATGAAGGACTTAAAATCAGCATACTATAGTGACACAGCCACATAAAAATCTTCATAGCAGCTCAATTCACAATAGCTAAAATACATAACCAAGCTAGGTGCCATTCAAAAGATGAATGGAATGGATAAAGAAAATGTAGTATATATACACAATGGAAATATTACTCAGCCACAAAGAAGAATGGCATTTGCCAGTAAATGGATGGAATTGGAGACTATCATGCTAAATGAAATAAGCCAATCCCCAAAAAACAAAGGCCAAATGTTCTCTCTGATATGCAGATGCAAACACACAATAAGGAGTTGGGGAAGAATAGAAGTTCATTGGATTAGACAAAAGGGAATGAAGGGAAGAGAGAAAAAATGGGAATAGGAAGGACAGAATGAATAGGACTTTCCTATGTTCATATATGAATATACAATCAGTGTAACTCCACATCATGTATGGCCACAAGAATGGGAAGTTATACTCCATCTATGTATAATATGTCATAAGATACTCTGCTGTCATATATATCTAAAAAATAACAAATAAAAAATTTTTGAAAGATGATTACTTCTCAGGAAAATAAGCAATTCATATAGACTAGGTATATAACAATGATGCCCATGTCCTATATATCCCCCCATTACATCCTTTAATTTACTTAATCACTCATTCAACCAGCATGTATTAACCTTCTTTCTGGGACAAGGGCTGGGATAAAAAATGAGACAAACAGGTTGAACCATAATCCCTGCATTTCACTTAAACTGATTCAACTACACCCTCTCAAAAATAAAAGAGAACAAAAGAACCAGTGAAGGGAAAGGCATACAAGTGATTCCACAGGTTTCCACTAAAGTAGTGTAGTGGTTCTCACCTGAAGTCCTAGGGCAGGCAGCATCTGAATCACCTGGGAACTTGCTAGAACTGCAATGTCTATGGCTGAATCTCAGACCTACTGAATCTGAAACTGTGAGGGTAGAACCCAGTGAGCTGTGCTTTAACAAGCTCTGCAAATGTTTCTGATAATACAGGTGAAATTTTGAAAATCACCACATTAGAATAAGCACCAAAATAAGACATGAATTTGCTATCCTTTTCCTGGATCTAGATTCTAGTTATCAGAATAACTGTAATGCTGTAAGCATTTCGCTGTGCTGAATGAGTCTCTGGTGCTTAAAGATTTCAATTACCCCTCCACATACCTCCAATACAAGCTACCGCATCATATGAACCTCAACAACAACAAAACACACACACACACACACACACAATCTATTTCAATAAGGAGGAAAAGATGGGCTATGTTAGATGTAAAGAAAAGAGGTATGTACAAGGCTGTCTAACAAGAGGCCTTCCCTTGGGATAGCCAAAAGTAATTTTGCCATAGTGACTTTCAACCCTAGCCTCCTCATAAAATGAGATATTGTTATAACCTTTAAAACCAGCCTACAAAGAATAACATTTGAATAATCCAGTCTGAAGATTTAGAATTTGAAAATGTGGTATGTGTTTGTATATGTCATGTTTAATATAAATAGTAGAATGTTCCTGCCAGAGAAAAAGCTTCCACCTACAAGTATAGGGACCACAGGAACTTCAGAACCAGAGTAAGCCAAGTTCCTTTGTATGACCTTAACTAAGGCACTCCTGCTCCTAGGAATCAGTCTTAATCTTTAAGACTGGGAAAAAGAGGGAGGAATCTTCTTATGGTAGAAAGAAAGCAAGTTTTGGCTAACAGACCCAACCCCGAATCAGCTATAAGGCCAGGCAAGCCACTTAACCCTCCAAGCCCTGATGTCCTCCTAGATAAAATAAAGATAATAACCTAATTGAAAGAATTGCTGTGATAGAGAAAATGTACCTAAAATACCAAGTATAATTCTTGACATATAATAATTTCTCAATAAATGTTA